AACTTAGAACATCGAAATGAGGTTAGTGACAAGCACGATCAGTTCACAAATAAAATCACAAGGACAAGGAGGTTTTAAAATCTGATCATCACAGTGTGGTAAATAATTATCTTGTAATTTCAGATATTGCTTTTAAGTTATTTTGTTCATCATTTGAGTTATTGAAAGACTTTAACTTTCGTCCTAGTTCTCGATCTTTAAACAAAGTATGATTATGGCTCTTGCTGATAAGCATTATCTATTCCTTTGCGTTGCCAGCAGTGTTAAATAATGAAAAATCATTAGATAACCTCAATGAGGCCTAGTTATTTTACTCTTCATAGAGAGACACCCTGCACGTCTTACGCAGCTGGCATTTTGTTCAATAAAGGTCTAAAATGAATTTCAGTCTGTTTCACCTAACCAGGAGATCTCATGGATTATGATGACATACAAGTGAAGCTTGAAGGGAATAGCAGCAGCAAAGGCAAACCATAGTTTCCCTTTTATTAGATTTACAGGTACACAAAGCTTCAATTTTTTACTTTGGATATTTTTTAAGTCAATGTGCCGGATCGATCGTTTGATTAATACAGGCGCTCTGTGCGCAACGTTAACTTAGTTTTATTAAAAAACTAGAAATGAAAGTTTTGATGGGAAAGATAAACGTCCTGTATAATTAGGGGGAGAGCTAAAACTGCCGAAGGACAGTGAAAAAAGATGAGGATATGTCGATAACTGGAGCTATAACTAAGAAACTTTAAGGTATTTAAATCCATTCCGTGCGAGTTTAGTGAGGTAGGTTTTTTGAATAATAAATCGTTATCTGATGGTCTTTAGAGCACTCTGACACTTACATTCACTTGGTATTCTTCATGGAAATGTGCTTTATTACGTATAAATTGATTAATTTTTATTTTATGACAAAGAACTCTCTCTCTCTTTCTGAGCTGACCAGGTATGTTACATGAGAATCAAAGAATAACAACGTATGGTAGAAAGGAAAAGACTCAGCTTGGCAAAACAATGGCTTCCTCCGGGAAGCTCTAACCTGACTTTAATGCTTATAAAGCGTTCGAGTCGGAAAATATATTTCTCCTATGATTAATAGATGATAGGGGTGCTACATAAAAATATTTGGCGTTGTTTATTGCGAAATTAAAACCTCAAGACAAATGTTTGATAAAAAAGATAAAACAGAGAAACTGAATATATAGGCCAGAAAAGGAACTAAAGTGGTTCAGGATAAACAAGAGAAACACGAATTACACAAACCTTAACTCTACTACTTTTTAAGACGAGCATTTTATTCAAGGTGTGGCGACAGTATATATGATTTGTTATGTAATAAATCAAGCTTTCTCTAACCAACTGTCAAGTACTTTCTGATGTTTAAATTATCGGCGTGAAACAAAAAGCTTTCAGTCACATTTGGAAAATGGTCAAAATGATAAATGTCTCCTCGTAAACGTGAACGGAGCCACACGGGTCATATGTTAATTAACGATAGTGGCTTTTTATCCTACACCTGCCTAAAGGGCCCATTGGAGGTCTGTAGATCGAACATTTTACTTTTAGAAATTGAGAAAAACTGTGCCAGTCGGCGGATCTTGCCTTAACGAGCTTTCATCTTTTGAGTATTTTAGAACCAGCCGTATTTCTCTTTGTGTTTCCTATCAAAACATTATTGCACCTCACCCAAGAGGATCTTAATTTGGCTTCGACGTATAACCTGCTAAGCTAGAAAATGCTAGCATAACTTATTCAAATATCTTTTAGGGGTGATTATTCAGAATGAAAGAGGTCCAACTTAAAGCATCAAACTAAGGTTGGGGACAACCACGGTCAGTTCACAAATAAAATCACAAAGATAAGGAGGTTTCAAAACCGAATTTATCTTGCAATTCAAGATATTGCTTCTAAGATATTTTTCTTCATCATTTGAATTATTAAAAGACTCTAACCTTTGGTCACTCGATTTATAAACAAAGCATGATTATGGCTCTGGCTAATAAGTATTATCCATTCTTTTGCGTTTCTAGCAGCGTAAGATAATGAAAAATCATTAAATAATCTTTAGAAGGCTTTGTTTGTTTATTCTTAATGGAGACATACTGCCGCGTCTTAAGTTGGCTCATTAAAGATCTAAAATGACTCTCAGTCTGTTTCACCTAACCAGGAGATTTCTTGGATGATGATGACATACAAGTGAAGCTTAAAGGGAATAGCAGCAGCACAGGTAAACCACATTTTCCCTTTTCTTAGATTTACGCGTATACGAAACGTCAATTTTTGACTTTGGAACTTTTTAGAGCTATTCTGTGAAAGGTGAGACGAAAAGTTTCACGTTCTTATCTGATTTTCTTTGATTACATTTCATAAGTGCGTCCCTACCTAACAGTTCTTGTTCTGTCCTTAGTTTCATTATTGATTCCATTTTCGAAATCACAGGTCTTCAGCTTTGAGCAATGCTAAGAGCTTTATCTTGCTGAGATGGAAAATCACCAAACCAAAGCTGTTTCAGAAAATATTGTGAAATACGCCATTTAAAGGACTAT